GGAATGCCCTGTCGATTTCTAGTACCATGTTTTACTTTTATAGGGGTCCATTGGATTGTCCCATGTTTGATTTCCATATGGGAGCTCTCTGCAAGATTGCCCCCTTTGATACCACCTGGGGCAGTCAAAGGCCACCATAGAGAGGTACAAAGCATACGAAGAGCTCTATTAATCGAACAGACAAACAAAGTTGACAGGAAAATAGCAATTTATTTCAAAAACTAAAACTAACTTTTTGGAATTGTCTCCCAAGGATTAATGGGGGTATGGATGGCGGGGGAGGGTGGGATTTTCTTGGGTGGTAAAAGGAAGGTCAAATTATCTTAGTCTCGCTGACAAATTCCCTTGTCTGTGTCATCCTATTTTTCAAATTCAATCATTTCGCGTTATTTATATTTGGTTGATTTGCACAGGGGGAGCAGTAAATACTATCCAATTTATCACATCCGTGATCACGCTCATTTGTAGAAGTCAATAAGATAGACAGAAAAGAAAAATCTGCTTTTTCCATCCCAAGTCGAAACCAGATGCACATGTGCACATATTCTGAGGCTGTGAATGATGGATTTGGAACAGCCAAAACAAAATTGCACCGCAAGTCATGATCAATGTTAATCTGCTACATTTTCTAATATTAGTAAAATGATTCAAAAGTTAAGATACTCTCAGACAAAATGGACGTGCGTATTTAGGAAGTTCAACATATCAATGAATGAGTAGTGAAATAGACATATATGAGTGCGAACGATTAGACGAATAATGGATACAAAACGTGATAAAAGAGTCAAAAGAGGTTAGGAACAGCTCAACATCATCTATTGTGCAGATTTGTGTCATTAAGAATGTAAGTCATTAGGTTGTTCCGAAGCTCAGATTTTCGAGGATAAAAGATTGACTGATTTTTGTCAGTATGATTTAGTATGCAAATTGTATGCATGAAATCAAATACCAGCCATCTTGGAGGTTTATTAGTTGAGAGACTAAGTAGTAATTTATATACCATTAATCACAGATTCCATTTAACGCAATATGATGTTATACAATTACTTTTGTGAGAAAGGCAATATGCTAAACCCCGGGTGTTGTGCGTGTCTACGTCTCTAATTTCCTTGTATCGATAATTTGGCTCACAAGATAATTACAATGGGGTAAGGCGAAAGAAAAAGATTTGGTCAAGCGTGCTTTAGGGGAATTCTACAAATCCGGGCATAAATCAACTTGTTAAGCCACTAGTGGTGACGATATATTCCATTTTAACGTTCTTTGAAGTTCTAATCTGACTTGAAATTGCTTTTTACGATACCATCTCCACTTTAGTATAATCGCCACCATTTATTACCACCGTGAGAGGAAGAAAGCTTAGCCCACAAAGATCTTCTAGAATGGCGGAAGCTTTCCAAAGAACTTGACTTTTTCGATCCATCGTAATGACAAATAGACCACGTTCAACGATCTCTTTCATGCAAAATTACTTAATGGTCAAAGTGAAGTGTTAGCTATTATAACCATTCTATCAAACAATAAATACAAATGAACTTTTCTAGTATCGAATCTAGAGGAAAACATTTTTTAACTTCGACGATAATAACTTTACACTAATGGGTGATAAATTTTAAGGATCCCTTTTATTTATTTTACAACAACTTTTTCATTGTCAGAGTTATGAAAAATCCATTAGACCTTACGGGATAGTGTCATAGATTAAAACTGTTATAAATTATTAATAAACAGTCGTAAATCATATTTCACCAATATGGTATTGAATTGCATAATAATTACGATCAGAGCGATGATGAATTGCAAAACAATGAGGTGACAGGGTATCCGCAAAGGACAACTTAGTTCCATTTTAAATTTATAGAGGGCATTAGAATAGCAATCGTTTCCGCTGTAATTCTTCCATGCCATTGCTATGGGAACGACAGCAGACGAAACACAGAGCTCTATTATGCAATAAACTATCTCTCTCGTAAATTATATTTGATAAACTGAATGACAACCTTAACGAGAAAGCAGTCTCCAAAAGCGTATATCCAAACGCAGAACATTTGTCATTCGAGTGATTAGATCCACTAATCGGGGACTTGTGAAACCATTTTCAATTTGAGCAACCATTCTGTCTCATTTCATGACTCTGTAGAAAATTATGGTATAAAATGATTCATAACTGGTAAATAACTACTGCGGAAATGAAAGATTTATCAAAAAAGCCATATTCTACATTTTGTTTTTGTGCTTCATACACATAAAGGTTGAGTGTGAATGGCCAAAGTTCTCCCATTTCATCTGTACTCCGTGTTGTGTGTGGGGGGGCCAATGGATTCATACACTCGTCATTGAGAGCACCAAGTCAAGCAAATTACCACAATTATTCTTGTGGATATATTATGATTAATTATTATATATATTAGTAATTATAATAGCAATCCGTACCATAAACTACCCAGTACTTTTGTGGACTTTGAATAGTGAAATGGTGTCGAATCATCCGCCACAGCGATAAGCAATTTAATGCTCGATGATCACCAAACTCCCGTATGTTGTCACTGTTGTGTATATTTTAATAATCTCAACGGGGATTTCTGAATGTCAACGTTATTCTGTTTCAAATAAAGATAATCATAAAAGTCAAAACATTTTAGAAGTGGTAATAAACTCCTTTACTCTGCTTAAAATACAAATCGATTACTAATATACTACATGTATTCACGTAATTTTCCAATTGTTAAATGGAATTTTATACCAAAAGTAGCTGATTACCTTAATTCTTGTAAACAATATCGGTAACCGGGAACTTTAGATCCATATTTTATCATTGTATAACTATTGTCAAAGTACTTCTGTATCTCTGCGCCATGCGTGTATGTTTGCTATGTTATAAATAGGGAATTTACTCATTTATCTTACAAAAGACATGATGGTATGAATTTATGAAGTTGTGTTTACAGAATATAATTCAAAGCTTTCATTTTATTATTGCATTTTATAACAAATAACAATTAAGTTGAAAAAGTGCATTACATTCTAAACATTGAACGCATTATAGTATAGACATTTGTGAAAAATAAGATAATAAAGTAAGCGGTTAACTGGAACCTATTCTATTGTTAGTTTGCAGTTTGCATGGTATTGTCACAATAATGGTTGGCTCAAATGTACGTGATACGCATGCAAAACTAAAAGGAACAGATAGAGACAATACTGCAAATGGAGGACGCTTGGATTAGAAAATATAACTCTTCGGATTTGGATAAAATCCTTTTACATAGAAATAGAGAGTGAGATTTTAAGATTTATTTCAATTATAAAGTTTATTAATGTCTAAGTTTTATAAGCCCATTTCACTATCATTCCATATTTATTAGTGATATGGTAGTTTGATAGACATAAACAAAAACTAGTCTTTTAAGACACAGTTTATTGACAATGAAGATGTCATCCTCTACTAACTTTGAAGAAGCTGAGATTTCGTGTTACTTTATTGCAAAGAAACTGACAAAACGTATAGTTTCGGCATAATACTGTTGTCTTTTGAGCTATGAAAAGTGCAAAAAACTTTGGTTTTTTTGGGGGGGGTGGGCTTTAATAGGGTCATCTATAAATAATTTGAAGTTTAATATTGTTTTTTTTCAACATGGTATCATTCAGATACTATTTGTATCTTTCTGTTTTACTTAAACATCTCATGCATGGCTGAGGAGAAATGACTTATCATGAAGACTTGGTTTATATACAAATACAAGTATAGTATACGACACGCCCTATATATTTCAAATTATGCCATTTGAGCGTTATTAAGAACAAACCCATGAATAAGCTGATGTATCTATTATATTATTACTAACCATCAATCACTATTAATAACCTGATAACGGAGTATTATACGGTCCCACATATGGGAAACCTTTGTTATTACAATACTGGTTTTGACTTTGAGTCAAGTTCGGTCTAAAAACGTTACTTTGTGAGGAGAGAAACTCAAAGTTCTTACGTTCAACCTATGCATTCCTTATTCAATAATTACTAAATCTTGAGCTCATTCCAAACAGGTCGTTGGCTCGTTGGATAATGTTTGTGCAACATTTGCGTAAATTGATTTTGCTACAAAATGTTCATGTAAGCCTTTGTTTAGGGTGTTTCGTTTTACGGTGTAGTGTTGGGATCCAAAGGGCGTCTCGTCCCCAAGGAAAACCGTCTCTGCATCAGGTGCTGATGCAGTACGGTCATTAGCAGGAGACGAATCGGTTGACCAATCATTACTCAGAAGTTAACTCTTAATGACTTAATTAAAACGCATAATTCTCAACTAATAGTGGTCCCTCTTATAGAACACTAATGAATTTAAAGGAGAAGTTTTAGTGAAGCAGAACACACGGCGATGCAAGTATAAGTTAGTACTTTTGTCCATTTACAAGTTTGATGAGCCAATCATTTTGCAATCAAAGGTAGGTCGAAACTAGGCACGGCACTTGCATCCATGGTTGACTTGTTTCATTTGAATATCGCATCATCGGTTATTGTTTTATATGTATGCATGTTTTAGATAGATGGATTAATGGATGGCATACTAAAACTAGATTTCATTTTTCTTTCTTTTATATATAACGCAGTAGAACTGTAGATGGTTGATATGTAAATGGACATTTGGCAATTACAAGAGTGGAGATAGCATTTGTTTTATCAACAATCATCACATGGTCCTGAAGCAAGCAAAAACTGTTTGTTATTGTTGGCAGGGAACATCAAATCTCTATTAATTTCACGCTTTTTAGGGAAACAGCACACGAAGAGGCAAAGATTAATGAGGTTGGCTTAAATTCAATGACTTCATAGATTACAATGTTCTACAATAAAGTTGAATCATGTTCATACATCTGGGGAGTAATTTACCGCCAATTGGTCGGTTGCTCGAACTTTACCCTCATTGTGGAGAATTATTGGCTGTTGAAGATCACGTGGTGTTAATCAACTTTCCTTATATGGTTTAATGTTTTGTTTAGGTTGTGAGCTCGTGGCGCTGATTACCGGCTGCTGATCCAGCGAATTATTAAAAAGACGATATTAGAAAATCCCGTCACAGTCAGATAATCAATTAGGACAATGAGTTTATACTCCCTCAAATCCCCGGCTGCCTATAACTCGTTTATGAGCGATAGTGGTGGCGGCGGACACAGAGAATTCACACATTCTGAGAATCCATACCGCGCTTATACGAGCGGTTATCCGTACACATCTCATACAGCAGCGCCGTCAGGTTCAACGCATCAGAACGGTACACCAACCGATTATAGCAGCTTCTCGAATCCAGCTACTCAGCGTCTCATACACCCATCGTATAACAGAGAGGACAGTCCCACACCAGTTAACAACAACAAGCCCATGCCGGCCGCAACCACGTCCGTGATTACCTCAACCAGTCCACAGGATTACTCCATCAAAAGTAGAACAACCACGGAATTCGCCACAACAAAGTCAAGTAGCCAGATTACAGACAGAGACAGTGCGGTCGACTCGCCCTCTCCAACTCCTGGAAGTGTAGGCTCGCCCGTGAGTCCCGGTCAACCAAACAAGGATAATGACAAATACGTTAAAGAGGAAGAAGACGGGAGTGATCGGGAGGACAGGGATGGAGAAGGGGGTGCCGATAACCCAAACATACAGATATACCCCTGGATGAGAAGGGTTCATCTCGGACATGGTAAGTTACAAACTTGTACATATTTCATAAATTATCTGTATATTTCATGATGGTATTAACTGCATTTTACTGACAGTGTAGATAATGCTGCTCGTATTACGCTCATATGTCACATTGCTTTAATTAATGACATCACTTTCATATTTTGTTGATTTATGGTATAAACATTTGTTAGCCCATATGTGAAACAACTCCAGTATTCATTGAAAAGAAAAATCACCATCCTATATATATTTGCATTTATACTATTTATCTAAATTGTATCGTATTTAAAATGATTTATATATTTTACTTTAGCGATGTGAGTAGTTAGAGAATCTATCATTTATCTAACTTTAGAGATGATGATTATCATTTAGGAACGTCAATAAGGCTTCAAACCCTCGGGAGAAGTATTCAATTAAAATGATCTACGTTATTAGGTGTTAGTTTAGGTGTAACTTTTCTAAGATTGCATATTTTGTTGACCTGCATGATGTATTTTGGACCCCTGGTATTCGGGCCAACTCCATGTTTACATTAGCACGGGGATATCATTATAACTGATAGAATATGACTAATGTCTTCCCCTCAGGGTTCCTCTTTATTTAGCAACCTTTGACCCCGCCGTTCACTTTTGATTTGTATCATACACTATTTACTGGGTCATACGACAAATTCTGAAATTGGTATGTACTTGTCCATTTTTATTGTAGAATCAAAAAGACTTTGTCGTTATAATGATGAGACCAAGCACACCTATGTAAAGTTAATGTACATTTATTTATAGTATGTTTGACAGGACATCATTGTGAACTTCATTCAGAATGGTAAACAGGAATCACTTGGCCAGTACAGGGCACACGCTATGATAGCACTAACAAAATATTAATGATATCAACACAGCTGTATTAAAACACATCGAATCAGACCAATATGATAATGGTTGGTAAAACAAGCACCAAAGCATTCATTCAATATATCTTAAGTGTAACAACACCTTCACCCATCTAGGTATTATGAAGTTGTACGTGTACAGAACATTGTCACCTGGTAACCACTCTCTGGTAGATCATCCATTCATAATGTTACAATAATCCATGCTTTCTTAGTTGTTGACATTTATAAGAAAAGCTCATTTGATGAAATATAATTATATTTAATGCTGAAAAAACCTTGAAATGATAAATTACCTTATCGAGACGAGCAGAATTAAGCGAATTATTATGAAATACAAAATTGAAAAATAAAAAATCCCATAAATAGATAGGTCAAGGTCAAACAACTAAAAGATGTTTTAATTTATCATAATGAAGGCTTATTGGTAGTCTGATGAATGCTGCAGTTTGAACACTCATTCCTTCATCTGAGAATCTGCATCTGTATCCCACACAGACTTTACTGATTAAAATCTCACCAATTGGGGTGATGGCCCATCATTTTTCACAATTAAACCATTTGATAAAGAGTCTATTTATCAATGTGATTCAATCATCGGCTGACTGTCATACAGATATGCGTCTACCCATACTTCTCAAAACGCCCTGTCACCATGGGCCAATTTTTCAATCAGGAAACACATGATGCGAGTCATGTCATGTTGTCAAAATTTGTATTCTCATGGTATAATCTTGTTAATGATTTTATTATTTATCTATATATACCGGTATTTACATATAATCACATTATATATTACGTTTAATTGTTTTTGTTTTATATCAAACGGTGACCCCTCATGAAACATTTCTTTTAGATCTTATATTAATTCCATCTGGGAAAATGCCTCTGTGAACTTCATTTGACTTTACTGTTCCATATTGTTTGTTGGTGTTTGTACACTACATGTTAGTATTGTTTAATTATGGCGACAGCATTATACCATCATCACATCATGTATTATTCATTAAGTCTTTTTACTCTAACATAACATCCGATTCAATCCGATCGACTGTTCACCTGTCAGTTGAAACTGTGCATGAGTTTTGTTTTTCTGTAATATTACGATGTAGTCGTGTACAGAAAATATAAGGAAACTAAAATGCATAAAACCTTATTCAAATTAAAATTCCGAAACATATATATGCCTGTAGTCACATGCTCTACCAAGTCAAACAAAGTTTGAAAGAGTTTGAATATCATGTCAGACCCACAGTTCTTTTCATTTGCATCATTCCATACTAAAATCATAGATGCTGCATGAGATTCTTATGATCTGGAAACTGTTTTCAAGATGCTATTAGCACCAAAAGTCAACCTAAATCCCGTCCATCTCCCCTTCATTCCCCACCCCATTAGTTTTGAAGGTACGCGTACTATACAGGGTGGTCAAACATTTGAACACTACTAAATGTATGTAGGAAACCATTTCACATTTTGCAACAAATTGTTACTGAGAACCGTTTCAAAATAATTCATTCAATTTTTGTGTCCCTCAATTTATCTATTGATATTGGCCAAACGTCCAATAATGTTTGCCTTGGAAGATCAAATCTGGTGACATGATCACCATTTTGTATTCAATTTATTGGTATCATATTTTGATGATTATTGTTGGTTATATTACTGATGTAATATTCTTCTCCAAAAGGAGGGCAATCTGTTTCAACTGATATATGAAGCCCTTCCTCTATAATGTTGCAAGTTACCAGTTTTCTTTTTAAATATCTTAACAGTTAAACGAGTCTGTTTTCCGATTCACCAGTATTATTATTGTCATTTTAGTTTAGAATTGGTCTTTGAAGCTTTGTAAATAACTTAAATGTCAGTTTTGCCTTCTAGAAAAGTTGAGTAGCTGTACAGATGTTGCAGTATACCCACCTCTGACATGTTCTTTCCTCTCTGTTCTTAAATGCATCTAATCATTCGATCTTATTTTAATTTATAAAATATGTATATTGAAAGAAAGAATTTTGGAAAAACATCGGCAAATTTGACAAATGTATATTTAAGAAAACGAGGTCCTATCAAACATTGGGCATCTACATATTAACTTTATGAATTGGACCTGCAAACTTTACAGCCAGCAGGTATTCACTTTGCATAGAAAAATGAATAAATGTTCACAATTAACAAAGGTTCTGATATTTTTGGACCACTCTGTAGTATTTAACAGGAATGGGAGCAATAGCAACTCATACATTACACGTTTACAGTAAAACGCTTGGTGATTTTGTGACAGAATACTTCACGACATTTTCCATTCTGATGGCACCAAACACATTCGAATTTATATTTACAAATCAAAAATCTATATTACAGAAATTAATTGAGATTATTTATCGCCCGCTTTTGGATCACCCTGTATTATCAAACTGATTGAAGCCTATGTCTGACTTTATGCACGTCTATTACTCTTACTTCTTTTCAAGTTTATCCAAATCTAAAAATAATTTATCGATTGATAATGAGAAATTCCAACAAATAGACATGTATTGAATTGATGCTTAGTGTGAACCAAACATAACTATTGAATTCACTTCACAACAATCCTGATATTTAGTCTTGCTTCAATACCCTGGGCCCCCTGTATTATTTTCATGTAATGTGTTGGAGAAGTAGATAAGGGGGTCCACAGTCTTGGGGCAACACTACCTGATAATGAACCCTGTGTATTGTACAACATGTAAAGGGGATACCTCTCCAAAGTCTAGATCCTGAAGATATTGGTATTCATTTCTTTTGATCTTCAAAATACTGGTAGTTATTTCTTTTGAACTTAAAAATACCTGTAGTCATTTCTTTTGCTTTTCAAAATACTGATAGTCATTTATGTTGATCTTCAAAATACTGCTAGTTTTTCTAGGATTGTCTAGTTATCGCTAAAATGTTATGGTTAATATTGAAATATAGAAATATAGTGCACCACTTAGTCATACAGAACCCGACATGGGTCACCCGTCTATGGCGGCAAATAAAAAATCCTATATCCATTATCATCGAGGATATTGTTCAACATATAATGAGCACAAGGCAATAAAGTTTTCAAAAGCTTTATGTAATTGAAAAAGGACAATGTCTAATGAAGGCTGAAACAAATTAGAAACAACGGCTTAACTCAGTCTCTCTTCGCCTTAATAGAATGATAGATAAGCAACTATTCTAATAATTTGTTGACAAAAACGCCGGTGTTCGGATATACCTTGACATATTTCTGCCATTCGTGATAAATTGATATGATTAATTGATTGAAAATGTTCTCTTTAATGTTTTTTAATGTGTGTAGTGTATTGTGAAGCCCATGAAGTAGGCATTATCTAATTGGCAATATGATGGTGCAGGCATATGGCTTCAATTGCTACAGTCATTAACCAAACAAACACTGACTATCTGCATGATAAACACATGATTATTTTGACATATCAGAAATAAACGACCATGTTTTACAAAACACATCCATTATAATAAATCATACCTAAAAGTAAAACATGATTTTGGCTTCTGCCATGCACGCAAAATGGTGCTAAGTCTATGTAGGATGAAACGTGTTACTTTGATGAAGATGATACGAGGACCCTTGCACGGCATATCATTGTACCATGCCCAACATCTACCGGAGATGAGCCAAAAGATACTACAACAGTGTCATGATAAAATATCCATGACAAAAATAATTGCATGTTCTGTTTGAACTTGAAAGGGGCGAAAACAACCCTTCTTAGAACATAGAACAATAAACATGACATATACATAGCTTCATACGCTCTCGATTCATCCACAGCATCACGTAAGTGTGGTTTAATGAAATTCACCCTGTCAAATGACGTAGATTGGAGACCATAGCTTGACATGCCAAACCCTCAAAATGAAAACAGTGACTCATTAGAGCATTAGGTAATCAAACCAACATTTGTGGAATGTGGTAGGGCTAATTTCACCTTAATTGAAAGTTGTGCTTCTGGAAAGTTACGTACAGCATGCTAATTTCTCAAATGACAGACGGAATTCTATTTGTAAAAATGATTTATAAAAAGAATCACATTTATCAAACCTCCTCTGCATTAATCCACTGCAGTTGTTTGAAGTGATGGCTGACATTGCCAGTTGGTGCCGTAATGGATACATCTCTTACTTTGGTATGTAACCTTTGAAAGAAACTGGGGTAATAGGGTCACTCACCAAAGCTGAAGACAATATAATACACCAACCAGAGCACCATTCGGTCACTGCAACTTCTTTATGCATGTAGATATCAATCATGTTTCAACAGTTTGTTTATTGTGTACATTCTTTGGAATACATTGAATCTACTCAACTTGTACTCGGGTATCAGCTGTTAGCTATGCACACATACAAATTGGTCATTATGGACAGGAGTTTTCAAATTGATAACAATACTCCCATCGTGATGCCTTTGTTCCTTAAATGTTTATGTGTGAACACAGATGATACACAAAATGGATGAGGCAGCTCAAAAGGAACTATATTGTACTAAATTTAAAACATGTATATGTTCAGTGGTCAAATGGAAAATAGATATCGATAGATTTGCAAATCAATACATCATTATAGCGACTGTAAAAAGTGCAATTAAAAAGGTCGTCCAACAAAACTGTCTATTTTAAATCGATTGGAAAAACTAGACAAAGCTTGCTCCGAAGAGGCACTGCCTCATGCCAAACATAGGAATTATTATATCTCCATGTTCTTCTTTTTTCATAATTTGCCCGTTGTGGTATTTTGAAAAGAATTGACTCCAAACAGTTTCCATTTCATTTCTCACGATAGTAATGTTTCAACTAACCAATGTAACACAGTTTATCAACGTGATTGACTTTTGATTCAACTGCGGTTACCCACAATGTCCTAAAAGACAAATCAAAGGGAACAACTTAAGAAATGATCGACATCTGTCGACTTGTTAGTATGTACTATCCTTAGAAAACTGATATTTCACAGACCAGTGGTGTGTAAAGAGACTGATTGTAATATGACAAAACTCTGGATCATACAACAGTACAATACAAAACAGTACATAACAATACAGTATGATACAGTGATACAGTGATACAGTACAATGTAATCCAATACAACACAATACAACATAAAACAATTCAACACACAGCACAATACGACACAATTCAATACACTACAATACGATACAATACAATACAATACAATACAATACAATACAATACAATACAATACAATACAATACAACACAATACCACGGTGCATAATGATATGGCGTGAGATAAGGTTCAGGTTAGGTAAGTTCAGGAATTGATAATCACAGCTGTACAAGGAACAGTGCATGCATGTTTAGGCATACAATTTTAGGTCCAGTAAAGAGACTGTAGTAGTGTAAAGAGTGGTTGCATTGTGTTAAATGTAGTTGCAGGTACCATAACAATGCTAGGTTTAGGTAACAATTTTGAGAGTGTAGCTATGTTTCAAAACTATTTTTCCTTCGCCAGATATCCGCATATCGAAATTAATTAGACAATCCTCATTTTGAGATAGAATTTGAGTGACCCTCAAACTCCCTCAGAAGATTCTAAAGTAGCTAATTGTAAGCTATCACCAAGAGGAAGCACATTGTGCAATCTAATGGAGTAATTGATCTATCCATTACCTTCTAACGAGCTTAAACTCTCTAAAGTAAAGTAGTTCTTCTAAGACTAATTCTCACTATAAGTAGAATATTTATTTCTTATTATTTCTTATCAAGAACACATGAGGGGCAACTACAGGGAAACAAAATCAAACAATCATAAAACAAATAGAAACAATTAGTACTAAAACAGAATGGTGTCATGCCGATTTAGGAATCATAACAACCAACATGCAAATCATCTGAAATTCAAAAGCCTTGATGCAATCGTTAAACATACATGTTAGTCAAAAGAGCATGCCACGAAGAGTGCTGCTAAAACCACCGTTCATAAACATATTTGGTGATATAAATCTTAAATACGCATCACATCAGACTGGAGATGAAGCTACCTTTTATAAATACATACGGCAATATAAACTTAGCTAACAATGTGTTTTCAGATCATGATGGGGCTAGATCTTCTTTCATAAAGATTTTTGGTGATATTTTAACATCGAGCTACAATGCATTTTCTGATCAGAATGGGGCTTAAGCTGCCTTTCATAAACACATTTGGTGATATTTTAACCTCAAGTTACAATGCATTTCCAGATCAGAAAGGGGTTGAAGCTGTCTTTCATAAACACATTTGGTGATATTTTAACCTCAAGTTACAATGCATTTTCAGATCAGAAAGGGGTTGAAGCTGCCTTTCATAAACACATTTGGTGATATTTTAACCTCAAGCTACAATGCATTTCAGATCAGCATGGGGCTGAAGCTGTCTTTCATAAACACTATTTGGTGCTATTTTAACCTCAAGCTACAATGCATTTCAGATCAGCATGGGGCTGAAGCTGTCTTCCATAAACACTATTTGGTGATATTTTAACCTCAAGTTACGATGTACTTTCAGATCAGAATGGGGCTGAAGCTGCCTTTCATAAACACATTTGGTGATATTTCAACCTCAAGTTACAATGCATTTCAGATCAGAATGGGGCTGAAGCTGCCTTTCATAAACACATTTGGTGATATTTTAACCTCAAGTTACAATGCATTTTCAGATCAGAAAGGGGCTGTAGCTATCTTTCATCAACACATTTGTTGATATTTTAACCTCGAGCTACAATGCATTTCAGATCAGAATGGGGCGGAAGCTGCCTTTCATAAACTCATTTGGTGATATTTTAACCTGGAGTTGCCATGCACTTTCAGATCAGAATGGGTCTGAAGCTGACTTTCAAAACGTACATATTTGATCGATTTTTTAACATCAAGTTACAATGCATTTCCAGATCAGAAAGGGGCTAAAGCTGTCTTTCATAAACACATTTGGTGATATTTTAACCTCAAGCTACAATGCATTTCAGATCAGAATGGGGCTGAACCTGCCTTTCAAAACACATTTGGTCATATATTAACTTCAAGTTGCAATGCATTTTCAGATCAGAATGGGGCTGAAACGAAGAGGACCCGTACCTCATACACTCGTCACCAAACTCTGGAGCTAGAGAAGGAATTCCATTTCAACCGTTATCTAACAAGACGTCGCCGAATAGAAATAGCCCATTCTCTCAATCTCACTGAAAGACAGATAAAAATTTGGTTCCAAAACAGAAGAATGAAATGGAAGAAGGAACATAAGCTAGCACATTTAGCCAAATCACAAGCTAAGATGCTGGATCTCGCTCTTGCCCAGAGAGCAGCAGAGGCCAAGATGCATCACCATGCAGCCCATGGACACACCTTGCATCTATAAACAAACATGAACTCACGCTGTCACTTGACATTTTAGAGAATTGGTTCGAGATTTGAGTGATGTACCTCTTGCATTTGCAAGCTTGGCTGGAAATGATATGTGGCTGAGAACAGGGTAAAGAAGTCTACTGGAATAATGTAGAGGTGCAAGAAATCTATATATTCACTGATATAGGTGCCAGGGTAAACCTACTCGCGAACGGTGCCAGGGTAAACAGAATATATATGTTATATGTTGCATTAGTAGCATACATAACATTTGACCTATTTTATGATTAGATGCATTTTATGGTAATAGGTAGATACAAACTGTGCAATACTTCATGAAATCATCAACAAGACGACGACGATAAACACGTTGTAAAGGAACTTACAGAGGTGCATGCATATACTGTAGACCTAGTGAATTAAAAATACTCCTTCAGAAAGGGTAAACAGATCGACATTCGTATGTATATAGAGGGTAATATTTGAATAGTAAGGAATGAACTTGATTGAATTTTAAAATATTTAACAATCCACCGATGGCATAGACATAAAATCATCAAGACACATGTTTATTTAGTTATATTGCATGAGATAACTTGAATGTAGCCATGTAACTCCTAAAATTGTATTTACAATAGCATTTCAATAACACATTTAAATTCAAGAAAATAAATTTAAAAGTTTTTTAATTAAGCTGTGGAAATAAAGTATTATAATAGTATTATTTCATCTTTGAATTAATTTGCCTCACAAATTTAAATTTGCCTAGACTTTTGTCATATCCTGGTTCTGCGTCTGAAGTGTTTGGTAATGTTGGAGTATCTTGGTTTGAGTTGTCTCTCATTCAGTCTGGAACTAGGCATATAATGACATTGTATTTACACTATTGTCTTTATTGTGAAAATGTGATGATATTGTCATGAATATGGGTACCCTACATTTTAAGGGAACCAACCACTGATGGTTGCCAAATGTAGAATGTAAATAGTCAAAATAATGTGAATGTCAGGTAAATGTGTATAGTGTAGATGTTTCATAATCAGCTTATATAATTACAGCAGGTATATATTTATTGTAAGAGTATATGTCTTGTCTGGTGCTTCACAAGTACAACTTGGTCAAGAGGGTAACTTTTTCAAATTTCAATAACTACTTTTGTGATCGTTTTATGTAATACATCATGGCTGGTATGAAAAACAGTGTATACAGAGACCTTGGTCCATGTACCGTATATACATAAAAGTACAGATATAAATAAATATTAATACCCATTTGACGGTAAATATTAAAAGGCGTAAATGATCCTTAATTAGATAATAAATATGTAGTGCCTTTCAAAGCACTAATCAAAAGTACAATTGCCAAATGCATGATAAAAAATGTCATTCATTATCTTTCATTTCAATGTGATTGCTATTAGTCCTTATGGAGTTGAAAAATACAATATGTAGATTCTATAATCACGATACTTACATTACATCATAGCGAATTATGTTAAATCATTTAACTCAAAAAGTTGAAAACGTGTGCTAGTTAAAAAGTTGCTTGTTAGCGACTAATACTCAATTCTGGCATAGTTTGATCGACCAACTTTGGCAAAATTGTAAAATTATAATGTTGACCATCGAAAATGAGGACATTGAACACCTTCAAATAAGGTTGATAAATCATTTAATGTGCACAAATAATGATGAGGTTCTAAAATTTTCCTTGTGTATTTCAGTATTTCAATTTAAACATCCTTGAAAATTGATTTTTTTCAATGACAGTTGAATAAACATCAGTAATGTATTTGTACCTTTTGTCAGCATTTCTGAACAAATAAAGTGTCAAGAAAGTAGTTCTATAAACTTTATGATGAAAACAATAACCTCACATGCTCAGATGTTACAGACATTGCAAACACACATGTATATACTGTATATTATATACAGTCTGCCATATGAGAAATGTCTATTTACAAAATATTGGTCTAAAAGGGTAATGAGATTATAGACATACTGTATAGTATATGTATGTATTTTAGCATAATATGTACAAATGCTAGTCACATAATTGGTCAAAAGGGTAAATTAATAGATCTAGACATACAAGATTGTCGGATTTAGATCTTGAATTCTAATAGATATTATATTTCTAAATATGCTTTGTATATATATATAATGGTGGATAGATGTGCACATATAATGTTCTATTGACCAGTTGTGTTTTGAGACTATTCTAAATGGGTTTTCCGTAGTGCTGTTTATATTTCAGTATCACCAGTTTTTCCTCTTTGATATACCTGTCATAATTAATCATAGTTCTGATTGACATATAGATTGTGAAAATATGTACAGGTACATTCTGTGATGAGGTATAAACATAGAAATAAAGCCATTAATCAAGGCGACGACGTGGTTTCGTCGTCTTTGTCTTACTAAATACGCATTGTTTATTAATGGTATTGATAGTACAATTGGACATGTTGAATACATATACGCTGTTGTCTTTCCAGAGATAGACGCAATGCTCATCAATTATTTGTTCAACCGTCTATGTTTGTTCACATGTGCCATTGACATGTATTTGTTTCACCAAAAGAATTTCTAACAATCAGGATTCCAATCAATCTTGTTTTACCTGTATCATGTATCATTTTGATGAGTACTTATATATCTGAACTATATAAAACATAGAACCTTTGAACTTGTACATTCAATTTAGCTTCCAAATTTACAATTCAATCGTGAGCTTTCAACAGACTCTCTTCTCTCTTGAAAGCCCATGATTCAATGAAGGAATATCGTCAACGTTTGATTTTTGCTTAAAACTCAACTTTTTACATTATACTCAAAGTGTTGTATTCCAGTTGATTACATATATGATAGTGTTGCAAACAGGAAATAACATATGCATTCATGTTTGGTTATTATACTCTGTATCTCTGTTATTAACTTTTTTTATTGAGAGTCGACACGAAAAAAAAACATTCTGTATACGCAGGTAATTCATGCATGGTGTACCAATGGAACGGTGACAGTGCTTTGGGAGAATGAAGCATGGACTAATGTTTTACTGGTAAAGTTGAGCTGTAAATAAGTTTATTAAGTAAATATTAGTTCATAGATCAAGTCATAGTTATCTAATTATATGTAGTTGTACATATAATACTTCAGCTATCCATTATTACATATTGTTTTGTGTAGATTATTGTGTGACATGTATAGGTTAAATGTGAGGTTTGGTGTAAAGCCAAACTTGTACAGTATTATAAACAGATTTGATTTGTCGATTAAAGAATTTAAAATGAATCAGTTGTATTGTTAATGATAATTTATAATTTTGTAAAGGGAGATGTTAACGGTCACTGAAGTAAAAACAATCCCCCCCCCGAAATGTCTACGTCTACGTGAACCAAATTGAATTATTAGATTAGAAAAGCAACTGGACCACTCACTGGTTGTTATAAAATTTAACTGTTCAACTGTATGGGGTGGAAATTCTTTAGTCATACACCAAACTCTGGATATGCAATAAAATTACAAATAATCCATTCCAGAGTCACTCCCTGGTCCATCTTCACTTCACAGGGCCCAGGAGGGGGATGTGGATTCAAATCAACCCCACCGTCTGGCCAAATATTTTTTCAAAATCATGCAGTTTTTCACCATTTCGAGCACTTTTCTAGGGATTTCTGGCCAAAGTTGACCCCCTGGAACGAACTTTCTGAAACAAAAAGCTGGAAACACTTTTTGATCAATAAAGATTGTTGAAATGGCAAAAGTCTCAATATCATCAGCCTCTTCTGTCAATCTGTCTTCCTGTAACGTTGGTTGCCATAACCTAATCAGGTATTTATTTTGAAATTAAAATAAATAATGTAAACATGCAAATGAGTAATGTCTCCTGAATCATACAGTGAGTGCCATGTTTCTATTGTTTAACTATAAATAACAATATCATGACATCGATTTCTCTAAAGGATTTCAATCTTGTAATGGGAAAAATTGCCATGATTGATTTATTGGTTGGAATAACTTAAATATATATCTATTATTAAGGATTGGGAAAGTCATTTTGAGTTGTATGATTGGACTGCATATGATCGATCACATTCTTGTCCTGCAAATAAGTTCATACAAAGTACAGCAATGAAAATTGTTCAAGCAAAGGTGCCGCAGGGGGACGACTAAATGGTATTGAATAACAGCGAGAAATTAACTTTCAAGAACACGCCAAGCCAAAAGGAAAACAAATTTCCAATGATGTAGAACACGACATCCCATTCCCATCCTCCAACCGTTCAGGAAATCCAACCGTTCAGGAAATTCAATTGTATATAGTCTCAAGCAATCAAACAATATAGAGATGTAAGTACAGGGTGTTCAAAAGAATCGCAACCCAAAGAAATTGCTATATCTTGAAAAATACTTGTTCAATTATGTTCATTTTTCAGGAAAGGAAGAACAGAGTATGTATGTATAGCTCATGTAGTTGGTTAGTTGTAAAACATGATGCATTGGACACCTGCTCAAAAGACAGTTGTACTAGGAAAATACGAAAAACCCAGTCAGGGCTGACTGCAACTTCCTAGCCATAGTGTTTTGACTCTTCAAATTTGGCACAAATCATCTTCATTCACTGTATGGTAAATTTTTGTAAAGTTAAATTAAAATCACTTCAGGGACTTTACAGTTATGGTTGAAATGCTTTCAAATCGCAGTCAAACGCCCCGGTTCCAGCAGACTTCAGAAGGCATTTTGACCATGACTGTAAAGTCCCTGAAGTGATTTTGATGAAACTCCAAAAATTCACCACACATTGAATGAGGATAATTTGTGCCAAATATGAAGTGCCAAAACACTATGGTTAGAAAGTTGTTAGGTTTTATTGCTGCGGCAGTCACCTCTGACTGCGTTTTTCGTATTTTCCTTCAACAACTGTCTTTTGGGCAGGTGTCCAATTCATCATGTTTTACGACTTACTAACAACAGGAGCTATACATACACAATATCTTCTTTCTTTTCCTGAAAAAATGAACATAATTGAATCAGTATTTTCCAAGATATAGTGATTTTCCATTCACGTTTTTCGTAATATTCCTTGTACGACTGCCTTTTGAGCAGGTGTACAAGACATCATGTTTTACAACTAACTTACAAAAGGAGCTATACATACAGAGTCTCTTCTTTCTTTCCTAAAAATATGAAGACAATTGGATAAGAATTTTCCAAGATATAGCAATTCTTTTAGTTGCGTCTTTTTTGAACACCCTGTACATGTAAACGATGCAGCTTTAGATTTTTATTCAATATGTTAGACGGAATGATACAAGCTCGACGTGTACGTGAGATCTACAGGGTGATCAATAATTAATTGTTATTTTTATGGGAAAGATTGCCATGATTGATTTATTGGTTGGAACAACTTAAATATATATCTATTATTAAGGATTAGGAAAGTCATTTTGAGTTGTATGATTGGACTGCATATGATCGATCACATTCTTGTCCTGCAAATAAGTTCATACAAAGTACTGAAATGAAAATTTTTGTTTTCTTTTTTATTTCAATTATTCGGGAAAGTTACTATGGAGACCTATGCCATAGAGCACATGTCTAGACAATCAAAATCACAAATATACAAAAATGCAATCTCAATCTTCTTATTGTAACATTCTAAATTATGGTGGAGGTCATAGTTTTGAATTTTCATTTTCAAAATGTATGTTTGAA